ACACACACACACACACACACACACACAAAGAACATAGAAAATGACACTATAAAAGGTGTTTTGTTGTGTAGTTATTTAAAAGATGCTATTAAATTAATTAAAACCTTTAATTTTCTATAACTGTACTTTGATTACTTGAATTGTTTTTTTAAAGACTGCTTGATGGTTGGATGAAACTACAATGTCTGTAGTTGTGCTTTGTGTGTGTGTGTGTAGGCAGGGTAGAGTTCTTATAATCCAAAGGTGGGCCTTGCAGAAAAAAATAAACATATGTATAGACTACTTTTTGCATTTCATCAAAGTTTCACATCGTTTTTAGGACAAAGACTAGGCAGTTAAGTTAAGYAATAACCAACACGGCTCCACAGAACGTTTTAGTTAATTGTTGTAATTTTTCACACAAATGAAAGTCTTTCAGAATCTCTCAGCTTTAGCAGGTCAGCTGATGCTGATAAAAATAGCAGATTTTATTTTCTTGATCTCTGACAGCAGGACTTCAGTCTCCGAACTCGTGAAGTTCTTATTACTTTTTGCTGTCATTTTCATGAATGAGCACTTCCTGGTATGTGGGGCAGGAAGCGTAGCCTATATGGTGTTTTTGTGGGTGTTAATTATGTTAATCTACTGTCCTCGTGCTCAAGCACCTGATACGCATTTATCATGTTTAAGCTGCTCGTTTACACACTTTACCTGCAGATAGAAGCGTTTGTTGAATCTGACGTGGCGTGTTTGTACAAACGACAGTAATAGAAATTTAGGAGAATACAAAAATGTTCATGCATAAGGCTTTTTGTGTGTAAAAAGGAGTTGCATTTCCTGGTTGAGAGGAGACAGTTAAGCTGTTTGTCTGTACCTATCAAACATTCAAGTTGAAATCTGGATTGGTCTCCTGGTACGTCCTATTCCTGTCGACAGAACCACGTACGTACCTTTCGGTATTTTGAAGAAACCTTTGTCATTGAGGTCTGTCATTTTAGTATCCTAAATTCATCATTGTTTGTTTACTAAAGCTGTAAGTGTTAAAATAAGAAATTCTGCTACGCTAGGCAATGGTAACACAGAGAGCAAACCATGCAATCCATGTAGACTCATTACACAAAGCGACCAAAGTAAAGACTGAAACCTGGTCCGTTGACCTTTGCCGCAAGTCTTCCCCTTCTTTCAACCCATTTACCCATCAGTTTACTGTGAAATACAGGCCACTAAAACATATAACCCCCCCCAAACAATGTGTAAATAAATATTGATATGGAGCTAAAACTTAATAATTGCATTATCAATTATAGTTTTTAGATATATATTTTATATGGTAACATTCATGATACAGTATAGCATACACTCACCGGCCACTTTATTAGGTACACCTGTCCAAC